AAYCTACCCAATCAGAGATTTATATTTTCATAAATGTCAAATTTAGTTAAATTTTGTTACAGAGTTGTTAAATTAGAAATCTATTACAGTCTTCAAACAAATATACAGTCTTGTGTATGCATTGTTTGTACTAATAAACTATGGAAGCAGATTTGTGTGTGTCCCTTAATTTCATGGAAATTCCACTCTGGCAGATGGGCAAAAGGCCTTCATGGCTACTTTGGCCCATATATAAATAATGTTTAAGGACAGTATTAATAAGGAAAAATTCCTGTATTTTTCCCATTTCAGATAACTNAAAAAAAAAACAAACTAAAACCACCATGCTTATGTGATGTTTATGACTAGATTGCATACTGCCAGTATGCAAATCAACAGATATGAAGACTTGTGTTACCAGCCCCGTAAAAAGAGGGACCTGAAACCCCAGACCCTTTCAGACCTGTGCAGATATGGGAAGAGGCTGAGGGAACCACAGTTCCCAGGATCCTGTACCAAAAGCAGGCAACCTCCACCTTCTTTCAAGCATAGCGCATGACTTGTACATTTTGGCCTTGAATTTCCTGTCCATAACCTGYGTAATATTGGAAAGTTAGTTYTTTCAATATCTTCCATCTGCCAGGAGAGTGGCTCACTTTGGGTGGTAATGGACTGTAATACAATCACAGMATCATAGAATATTATGATTTGGAAGGGACCCCCCCAGGGACCATCAAGTCCAACTCTTAGCCTTGCACAAGTCACCTCGAAAAATCACACTTTGTGCCTAACCAATCTCACTCAGCTTTTCCAGCTTTCTGAATCAATTTTTCAGGGGTCAGACTCCTCCCACTGAGCCTAAGAAGCAGCCACGGGGTTCTGAATCACTTCAGGCTGCTGATACTTGCTACTGCAAGAGTGCTCCACAGCCTTTAAAAAATCTGTCCCCGAGTGTGTCTATCCAGTGGTACTGAGACAAAGTGGCTTCTCCAATAATGWGCCATCCAAATACCAAGTGCTGTTCTATCCCTGCAGAGGAACAGAGCAATTTACTTTTTCTTGAGGAGCRCTATTTCATCTCTAGAACAAAGCTTTCATTTATTCCTTAGATAAAGTGCATCTGTAAAGAAGCTTAGATGGGGTCTGTATTTTCTAACRCAGAAGATTCTAGGAAAAGGCTGTAGCTGCAAGAAGGCTTTAACAGGGAATTAGCCGGAAATTCTTTGGCAGACAAAGGTAAGCCRGAGGTCAGCTAGAAAAAATATTTTTATCAGTCATTTCCTTTGCACCGCAGCTGGGGAATGCACGGCCCGTGACTTCATTTCAAACAGCCTGTGGCCATTCGACTTTTTTTCACATTATTATCAGATAACATCAAAATGTGAGTTAACATGTAGCCTGGAAAAGTTTGCATTCAGAAGGCATTCAGGTTTCAGTGGCTCCCCAGCCCTGATTTCTCCATGATACACACTCAAGCCTTCTACCTGCAGAAACAGAAGTTTTAGACCTGCAAAGAGAAATTAAAGCAAATATTGATTGCTAAAATGAGGTTCATAGGCAGAGGGGACTGTTTCAGCTTGAAATCCTAAGGGTTTGCTCTTTGTCAAAAACAATATATGTGTCTGTATGATACATCTTGAAATGGTTCTTCTGGGGCCTTTTATAAAGCTGTTAACAATCTGCATTGTTTCATTATGTTGATTAAAGATTTAAAAATACCTCTTTTAACATAAATGTTAAGACTGCAAAAGGACAGACTTCTGAAATCCGTTTTYATTTCTTCTAATTTTGAAGCCAAAGACATTCTTCATGCATTCTTCTTTTACCTAATAAAATCGATCATGTAATCATCCAAATGTGGACTAGGGCCTCTGGTTAGGTTTCATTAACAAGGGTTTGTAACCAAGAAGCATTATAAAGTGTTTATGCTACAAATATAACCTATTTCAAGTTCTTGTAGGCTATTATGGACATTATCTCTTCCTAGATCATCACATTGATGCAGGGACACCACTGAGCTACATTTTTTCCTGTGGGTTACCTTCCAGCCTGGTTAAAGAACAGCATTCCTTGAATTTTGGAGATAAGTCTCCTGACTTTTATGACATGAACTGATGCACTTAGTGTGTGTCCAATTCACAATTGTAATTCACAATTTCAACAGGAAGGACAAAGGCTGCAGGAATAGTCATCCTTCCCAAGGCAGGATGAGATTTTATCATGTGTTTCTCCAGAAGGGGCAGTTTGCACCACCACCCTTCTGTGAAAAAAGTTCTCTTTGGCTATYAAGGACAAGCTGTACCGTGCTAAATTCACTTGAAAACAGAGGCCAATAAGAAGAGTGAGGGAATGTTTCCTCAAGATGTACAGTTCAGTATAAGGCGCTCTTAAAATCACACGTTTCCCCAAGTGACTTTAAAATCTGTCCCTACCAAGCTCTTCTCTGTGCCTCTGCTGTCCCATCGTCCCAGACCCATGCTGCTCCTGCTCACCAGGGTGGGTGATGCTTCCATCCCAATTCAGCACAGCCCCTGACGTATTCCCACCATGGTACSCTCCATTTACAACTCCTGCTCTTTTGGTAGCTCAGTGATCTYCTCTCCAGGCTCAGCAAGGAATATACAAAAATGGATTTCAGGCATGTTCACATGTTCCCGCTGTCAGAGCTTTCACCACATAATACTGTATAAATAAAATCCTACTGCTCTCCYACTACATCTCTAATTCTGCAGGCATTTCAGTGCATGTGAGAAAGCTTCTAGACTGAAATAGATCTAGTCAGCATATTTAAAGTGAAATACRCAGAATTGCAAGGTGAGAAATGAAGCAAAAATCCAGACAGGCTGCAGCATAGATGAAAACAGAATATCCCCAAAGCAACTGGATAGTTTGATGCCATTTGTCTACATTATCCCATTGCTTGCTAGCAAATTGCCTAGCACTTCCCACAGTGATAGCACACTAACAATAGCATATGAAGTCACAAAGTTAAYCTTTTAGGCTGCAATTTTTCGAGGCAGCCTTCTATCTCAGCAGGAACATTCTCCAGAAAACCTCAGCTAAAAAACAGACGGCTGAGGTACAAGAATGAGATTACAGGAAAAAGAGGATTTCTGCAGGCTGAATGTGTCTCAACTACTTTTCCTTTGAAAAAAGTGTCACACCCGTGTTTTTGAACAAGYACTATGGATTGGTGAGACAAACAATCGTTTTCCTGCAGGACACACYTGTGAAAACCTATCAGGCAATCAACCCAAAAAGACCCCATCAGTTTGCACATACTCATAGAAAACGAAAGGTTCAGAAGCACAGCACGGCTGGAATTGCAGGAGCTGGGGCAGAACTTCAGTAGTACTATGGAARTACCAGATGTTGGTTCGAGAAATCTCCAGAATGAACAGTCTGCAGAACAACAAAAAATACAGCAGCCCAAGAAAGGGTCTGAAAAGGATGCCAAGTATCAGAAGGGGGAATGCAACCTCACTGCGTTTGCTGTAAGTCGGGTCCAAGTACACGTTGTGCACAGCGTCAGATCCGTGCTGCATCTAAACTGCCTSCATCTCCCGCCTGCCTCCGCTTATCTCACAACCTGGGGATATGCTAGCCTGGCAATTCTTTACTTACTGACCAGAGAGCCTTTGGAGAGTTTAGTGAAGGATTTGTACCAACAAACTTCCTGGCTCTTGAAGTCCATTTTCAGCTAACACTAATCGTTTGCAGAAGAAAAATATTTAAAATGTGCCAAAGAACTGTTGCAAAGCTTTGCAGCACGCTAGCTCATAGCCTGCAAATATACTTGGTCTTTACGTTATGACATATTTCTCTGCTTAAAATAAGAATATTCGAAGCAGATTTTATTAATTTCTTTGCTGGCACAGGACGTTTCACCCCCTCTGCGTGCTGGCTCCTGCAGCGAGAGGCTGGGGCCAGGCGGCGCATCTGAGTCCCTGTTCCCMGGAACGGGACCTGCCTGGCCCAGCCCACTGCTGCCGTGAGTTTGACAGCCTCAGCTCCAGCTCACTGCAGAGTATACGAGGAGAAGTGCAACAGGGCAAACCTAGCCCATGGTGATTTTAGAAGAATAATTTGCATGAGAAAGGTAAGCAGAAATCCAGCGCTCGGCTTCCACAGGGAAGGCAAGGAAGGCAGCTGTTAAATCCGGCATTACAGAGAGTGGGAACAGCACGCCTACTCATTACAGCAGTGAAACTTCATAGAAGTGTTTCCATGAGGCATAAAACCTAAAAAAAAAAAAAAAAAAAAAAAACCAAAAAAAAAAACCAAACAAACAAAACAAAAAAAAACAACAAAAGCACCCCAAACAAACAAAAACACCAAAAAAAGCCCCACACCAAAGAAGGGATTTAGTTGTACTGTTGAGAAGGCTTTGTTAGCCCCACTTTGCAGCCCCCCCCCCCAGCTGTGACACAGGCACTTAGATGACGGAGTCACRCTATCTTAGTGTCAGTTCTTTCCAGGAGGCTTGTTTTACAGTTTCCAGGTACATCGACATATGTTAAAGATCACACATGACCCAGGTGCTTGCCTAAGTTAAATCTCTCCTCCGGCACAGGGAAAAGTCTCCTAACTTATTGTGGCAACAGAACATCTTTCATATCACTTCTGGAAACACTACACTCAAATCAAAATGACTCCAAGAAAGCCAGCAGCTTTCACAGGTAAATGTGACTCAATGCCTGCAAAAACACCTTAGAGCTGAATTTCTSTGTAGAGAATCACACAAAACAGGGGGGAATAACCATCATTGCCAGGCAACATGGAACAGAGGAACTTTCTGCCAAATTCCTCCAGCACTGTTTGTGATATGGGGAGATTTACTTTTAAGAATATGCAAATGGCAGCATGACTACACTGAGAGGCTCAGACTTTGTTGTGGTGGTTGTAACTGTCCCGGAGGAAAGGGATTATTTGGCACGTGTTCTTCTGCTTCTCCTTTTATTAACCCTGACCAGAAAACGGTGAGTTCAATCAGGTTTTTATGCAGCTTGCAGGTAAAGGGTTACAGATTCTAGGAAGTATTAAATGCAAACTTTAAAGGATTTTATTTTCATCTACAGTCACATGATGCCTTAATACCCAATGACACTAACTACAGTGTCTCATTAAGAGGTCATGCAAACTCCCAAGCTAAACAAGGCATTCTTACATATTTAACATTCAAATGCAGAAGCCAAGCTAAGCCATGGAAGATTGTAATCAGGAAAAGCTATACTTCCTGATCCACACAAAAGCTACAGGTAGGAAAATTTCTTCTTCTTTTAAACTTGTAACATTGTGCTTTCTAGACAAACTGTTTATAGGGCATATTTTGTACTGTCTTTCTTTTGTACTTTTCAAAATAGTCTAAGAACATTATCCTGAAAATATCTAATCTCACTTGTTTCACCTGTTGTAGGGTCAGGATTGTTTTTGCACTCAGAAATACAGTTGGCTCAGTGGAAATCCAGAGAAAACCRTTTTTAAGCCAAATCTATTTCAAAAGCAGTATTTTTAAAGATCTCTTAGATCTTGAAATGGTTGTGTTGGAGTATGTGGAGTGAAGGGAGAGTTAATATGTCTTTGATGTCTAAAATGAAGGGATTTAGAACTCTTCTAACTTCCTTATATCATGAATTGCACATTGTTTCAGTCACACTAATCTGAGTGTATTTAAGGGATTTGGMTTCCTCACTGAACTTGCATGATTTCTAAATTCCCCTCCTAGAATTCAGTACATTTAAAAATAAAATCTTAGAGCAAATGAAAGACAGATGGGGAGTACTACAGCGCTCCATAAAAGGAAAAAAAATACAAAATGAGAAGTAAAAGGRAAGTCAGTAGAAACAAGTTTATTTTAAATTGAAAAATTAAATTGCATTAAAGCATATCAGTTTTCACATGGAGTGATAAAGTTTCACTGACAATTGGTGGCAATATTGCAGGAGATAATTTTTTACACTTGTGCTGAAGGAGTTTTCCAGGTAACAGTGTTAACATTTTTATCACAGAGATCTTTATCTCATCACAACTTTCTTTAAACTGTAATTGTTTCCAGACAATATTCTAAATACTCAGCATTTCCATGCCTTTATAGGAATTTAGTTAAAGTCTGCATTCCAAAAAGCTACAGGGTCTAAATTTACTGAAAGATCTCTAGTTCATCATAGGATTGCCACATCCTGAGGATTCCCACTGCACAAAAGCAGCAAGCRGTGTTTATTGTTTTGCTCCTACAATGGTTGGGTGTTAATTGCTAGCAATGTAATTTTTCCACAGCTCATTCTATAAAAYACATCTCTTTTTCTTCTTTCCACATAATGCCAGGAGATACTAAAAGAAGTAGAGAATAATAATACCTGAAGCAACTTGCTTCAGATAAGCTCTCAAATTACTTTGGAAAAAAAGCCAAACAGGGATGTCATTACCAGATTTAAAATAAACTCGAGTCCAAACAAGTTTACCAGTGGCATTTCAAAAAATTGTCATTCACTTGCAGAAACACTTTGAAACATAGTAGGTCTTATGTTGAGGAGGGCCAAGACCCGAGCACAGCCTAGAGCAGCCTGAAAGGTGAAGKATCTGTTTATCAAACTCATTGTACCAAAGTCCTGACAGTCGCTCATAACAGTGTCAGTGGAAGTGTAGCAGTGAACAACTACACTTYAAAATAACTGCTCCAAATTTACTATAACTGACCTCTGAGCTTATATTATTTACAAAAATCTATTTAGAAACCCTTGTAGATAAGGGGCTAATTTCCTAAGCTACATTTAATTCTCAGGGGAGTGGAAGGAACACCAAAGCTCCCAAATAAACAGCCAACTACAGCTTTCACTGAGAGGAACATTGTGCTTGAAACAACAAAAGGAGCCTGCCACGGCCATTCTCTTCTAAGAAATGTTTGTACAAGTCGGGTGTGTCTTGGTAAACCAGCTGTTAGTAGCTCAGTCGTTAAATTTGTTGAATATTAATTAACRAAGTGTCTTTGTAGGATGGAAGTTACAATGCACACTGAAATTACTCTGTGAATGAAAAGACGGAGTGGCCATTGAATGAGAGGTAGCCTTAACTCTTTTACCAAATAAAGGAAGACAAATGAGGCACTTACTGTCTAGGACTCGGTTAGTTTGGATGGTTTTTATGCCCACTGTTTTAGCCTTAATGAAGGAATTTGTACTGTTTTAATTATTACCTTTTTTTCTGATGAAACAAACATATTTTCTTGCTTTGTCATATAAATATAGAGTCAAATGTGGCGTTGTTTCACAGGAAAGACAAATCAAATACTTCCTGCTCATAACCAAAAGAAGAGAGAGGTTCTTAGAAAATTAGATGGTTGGAAACCTAAGGGAGAAYTTTTCTCTAGAATTTTTGGGAAAGCCAAGCAAATATAAAAATCAAAACACTGTCAGAATTTTTGAATAGCTTTCTCTTTATCCCAATGCTAAGACAAGCATTAGTCAAAAGCCAATCCAGTTCTTCCAAACAGTTAGCAGATCTCAGAGAATTTATACCACATTTAAGACTAACACTGAAGATCAACCCAATGATTTTTGCACAGATCTAGGTATGTGGAAAGACAAAGCAAATCTTCAAGTGAAGGGAATTGTGACTTCCTTCCTTGGAAAGCCTGGTTAAAAGTGGTCACTGTGCAAGGCAAACATTTTTAAGTGTCTCTAACCACACTGTTATTCATAGCTCAGCTCAATGAAACAAACTTGCTAGAAGTATTTGCTCTCAGATTTTACTGAATGAAAGCTAAGGAAAACCAGGAAAACCTTTCTTCACAGCTTTCAGGAAGGGATGGTCATTTGCTACGTTTGCACAGTACTGAGTTAAACATGGCATTGTGTACATCTTTCACTGAAACGGTTTCACAAAAGCTGGGGGTGGGGGAACACTCAACCCACTGAAACGTGATGAAATGTAGCCAGGCAATAAATATTAGCTCGGAATTAGTAATTTTTCCTTCAGACCCTGYCTTTCTGAGGATTATGTATGGTCACCTGGCAGCAGAGTATGCCCATGCCCTCCAGACAACAGTTGTGGAGGGGAGGGGAGGGCTAACCCGGGCAGGTGACCAAATCCCACTGCTCCTTAACCAGGAGCACCTCATTTAGCACCTGATCATGCTGGAGAACCAATGTCAAAAGTTCATGCCCAAGCGATGCATGAAAACTGTAGATTTTTTCTGAGCTACAGAAGAGTGCTGGCAAGCAAGATGTATTGCTAAGGAGAATAGCTATAAAACACAATGTAGTTTTACTTATTGAAAGTTTGATATCAAGATGGACAAAATAAATGAGTTATGGTAGAAAGGTCAAAAGGGATTATTGGAAAGGGGAAAAAAAAGCCAGCAATTTTCCTGTGAGTTCTCCTCTGGGTCACTGTCACTTAGATATATGGAGGAACTGAATATATTGCTTAGAAACCAATGATTTAATCACTTACAGCAGAAAGCAGGAGGAAAAAAAGGCCCATTTTTTTGCTGTGTGACTTTTTTCTGTCTGTCATTTTTATACAAGTTTATTTAACTCCCTTTTTTTCACTTCTATCACAGTTGTTTGCTCCAAAGACACAGATGTTTTCTGGTTAGAAAAATATTTCTGGTTGAATATTCTATTATTAATTCACATAAGTTACTTTTCCATTTTCAATAGCAAGGAGGAGTCAGCCATCTCCTTGGGGCTTACTCTTTTTAATGTTACCAGCTTGGCCTTGCTCAACTTTGCTTCACTTTCAACTGTTAATATAGTTGTCTTTTTCTATTAAAGAGCAGTTAGTTTTATGATTTTATGTAAACAAGGTCCAATGCCTTGCTATTGCAGGCAATCTGTTTTTCTGAAACAGCTGAGTAACAAGCACAAGTGCACCCCATGTTAAGAATAACACACACTCAGTGACTGAAAACCCTTTCAGTATGAAGTCCACCCTCTACACTATTCACACTGGTTCCAGTAGGAGCGGTATCAAATCTTCACACTGCCAACAGAGCACAGGAGAAAAGAAATAATGTGACGCAAACAATGCTGGTGCTACCYAGCACAGTGGTGCCAGCAGAAATAGCAAAACAGCAGCACCGGTTTGCTTGTGGTGGATAGAAGCTCTCCAGACCATGACAAAACAGATTATTTCACATCTGCCTGATCTACCATGCTCAGAGCAGGTGCATCTGGATGTTAAGGCASTTTTCCAGGCAGGTCAGCATTGGTATCCTCTTACAATACAGTCTGAATGCAGAGTATCTGACAGCAGCTTTCAGGCAGGAGGTGCAGGGAGTGACCCAAACAAGCCATATGGAGCTACATCTCCACAGCCCTGAGGACCCACCAGACTGTGGGTCTGTTCATCTCCTGATTACCTGCCCTCCCCACCCTGTTGAATTTATTGCAACAGCTGTTTGTGTAGACTGGATTGTATTTCTTACATTGACTTCCCCCTTCAACCCACAGCTACTTTGAAACCCTATTTTATCAGCCGTAGATTTGGGAGTGCCCAGTTTTATCTACCTTATTAAGCACCTGAGCTTTGTATAACAGCCTAGGATGCAGAAAGCACCACCTATGCTGTGACAAAGCCACCCAGCAATTTTTTCCTCCTCTCCCTTCTGGGYTGTGCACTCCTTCCCACAGCTGGGCRGGTGAAGAAATATCCCCACAGGACCCAGGCCCACTGTGCCAGGGCACCTCCCAGTTCTGGGACTGCAGCCTGCAGCCAATTCAGGCTCTTTTGCCAGCTTCTCCACTTGCCCAGCCAGCAAATCCATGCTGTTCCACTACATTACATGCAGCTTACCTCCAAAAAAAGTGTTATACTCTCTTCCTCCTCTTTTATGGCAAACAAGTTTGATAGCAATCATATTAACATGACTAACACTATACATTTCCATGGAGCTATTATTCTCATCTGCTTCTGATCTGCTCATAGTAAAAGAAGCCTAAGGGTCAGGCTAATTAATCCTTTTGAAGTAAGCTGGCAGTCTTGCCCACTTACAGCTCAGTGGAAAACAAGCAGTTACTGTCAGCTGTCAGGAACCTGAATAAAACTTTGTTAAGGCCTCCTCTGTCTCTATTTTTAGTTTGGGTGTGGCATGGAAAAAACAATATTTACCATCTCAGCTTACCAAAGCAGCTGTGCCCTTTGTGTATTTGTTTTCATATTCCCTTTCCCCATGTGAATTGAGCACATGTTGCATGGCTTGGTATCAGCCCTGTATTTTGCTGTCAGAGTACGTGCGTGTCTCCACTGAGCAATAGTA